ACTTCTACACAAGCGTCGCCTTTTTCTGCCAACTAATGCCAAACTTGTAATTTATAAGGAGTTATTCAAATCCTGTTTATCCTACATTTGCCTCGTTTGGGGAACTACGACACGTATCAGTCTGAATAAATTGTTTGTGTTGCAGAAGAAATCAATATACGTTTGGCAAAATTAGTACACAAGCATCAACGAGAACGTTGGAAATGCAGGTCTACGCACCGCACGCGCTCGCCTTTCCCGTATAAAAGATTCTAAGTAAATAACCAAAAGCAAAACGTTGGCGAACGCACGTACAAGATAAGATTTGTTTCAGACTTTTGCTTTTGTGCAGTTACCACTACTGCAGACGCCAGCCCGTGCAGCGCGTGTAACTACTCTCGTAGGATGCTCCTCATGGCTTGGGTACTTTATCAGAAGTTCTATTCTAGTTGTAGCGATATGCGTCGCATTAAGCACATACCGAAATTTGAAACATGTGAAGCAACGAGAAAAATACACATTTCTAGTATGAGCTTGCGCAAATGTACGCGGCACCACTTAAAATTCACAATTAGCCTATACTCCAAATTTCTAAATTAAGCGTAAAATATAATATGGGAGCCCAGCGCCGGATCATTGAAAGGGCCACGTCCCCGGAACTAATCACGGGCCTCCGATAAACCAGTGCACACTTCCAAATGTACTTCATATAAAAAAAGAAGTTTCTATTAATGCGATATATGCAAAAACAAATGTAAAATATTCTCCTCTTTCTGATAAATACTTTGTCTATTTTTTTTTTCTGCTTTATACGGATATTTTTCCTGTCGGGTGATCTGCCTTTTGGGAACAAGGGCCTTCGTCAAAGTAGAATAAGACTAGTGTCAAGTATTTGCAACTAAGGTCGGTGAGGCAAACCAAGCAAAAGCGGTCGACCGCTCACGACGCAGCTGTCGACTTTTGGAGAAAAAAAATATCCGTCGTTGGCGACAGTCCTCTTTTAAAAAAACAACAACAACGTGAACTATGAGTTAGCGACAATCTCATTGGTCTTCCCACGTGTACCTCAGCCAGGAGGATACATCAGAAGAGCTGTACGCGCCATATGGCACAAGGTGAATACGAGTTCTGCGTCAATCATCAGATGAGTCTTGCGTTCTGACTCGGGTAGCGGACATTTCATCGAACGCCGTTTCATGGAATGAATGGACATTTCATCGAACACGATTTCATCGAACGCTGTTTCATCGAATCGTATAAGGGCCATTTCATCGAATTTTTCTGTACCGAGTTATGGGGCATAACAGTGCTTTATAGATGTTTTACCTCGTATTTGTTTAAACTAAGGTACTCACTTGTGAAATTGTTTTGAAGGTAATGTCAAATTACTAGAAATAAAAACAATTTGGTGTAGAAGAAATAAAAAAATTGGGTATGCGACTTACTGAAAAGCTTTTCTCATGTACATGACTGAAAACTTGACACTGCAGGTAAGGGACCGACACTTAACACAGTTTTAAGTGACTGCGTCGTTTTTTACCTGCTGTCTCGGGGTTTCAGTAATGTGCGATTCACGCCAGCTCGTTTGCACCCTTACGATTAGTTCAGATTTATTCACGGAAAGCATTTGACTGCCAGGACGTCACGCTTATAATATAACGATACTCTGCCAGGAGAGCACGCGAAATAAAATATAACGATATTCTGATTATCAACTTCATGCTCAGAATAAACTTAACTGCTTTATTTTTTTTTTCAAACTTTATACTAGAGACAAATGTTGCGCAAAGGGTCTGCCAACATTGTTTCGGGCTACACCAAGTCTGGAACCACCTCCCCTTCACTGTCAACTTTATCACCGACATTTTTGCCTATGAATGATCTTCAGGACGCTTTCTTAGGAAGGCCAACCCGCACCAGACAATAGTGAAGCCCTGGGTGTACTCTGTGACCCAACAAAACTGAACCCTTCCGCATCGTTACACGTACACGTTGTCAGACAATAAAACACTACCCGCTTCCCAGAAAGCACATAGTACTTTCTGTTTTAGAGCGCAGCTCTTAGGCGCCCATCTCCGGCCTGAGCGGCGTCGCCGTCGGCGTAACCAAGGTCATCCCAAGGTCACGTGACCCCCAAGGTCACCTCAAGGTCACGTGACCCCCAAGGTGACCCCCACGTGACCCCCTCCCCCGAGGTCACGTGACCCCCCCCCCCCCCCCCCCGAGATCACGTGACCCCCCCAGGGTCACGTGACTACCCGCAGGTGACGTGACCCCCCTCAGTAGCCTCCCCTACTCCTCCTCAAGAGCTGCGCTCCAATTCGGCGTTACAGGGATTTGTAAACGGCTTTCATTTTTGTCTTATTTTTAGTTGTTTCATGTGACATGGAGAGGGGTCATTGTTTCATGGAGGCTTTCTTTTCGAAGCAGGATATGTTCATGATGGAACTTATCTCGTCACTGCACCCTGTGATATAAAAATAGAGAGAATTTGAGGACGTTGTGTATAAAAATTAAAATAAATTACAAAAAAATATTACAGGTTGTGGCGGCTTTCGATGAAACGGCTTCGATGAAACGGCGTTCGATGAAACGGCGTTCGACGAAATATCCGGACCCAGCCCAGGGTAGGTTTTAAATATCAGTTCAATCTGCAAGCCGTTCTTTTTTGTGGAAAATAGAAAGTGTTTGCAGAGGACATTACAAGGGCCTCAAACAAGAGCAATTGGATTACCTAAGGGTTTTATGCATGCTTAAAGTCACAATGGGACAAAAAAGACAACAACACATTTTTTTTTGTTTTCTGAATGCAAGCTTTTATTTAGATTTAGTGGCCTCTCTCCGGTAATTTGCTGCCGCAAAAAAAGACATCGTCTCAGGAAAAAGGCGATTTTGTCTTGTTTTCCTGCAAGGTAAAGGCGGATTTAAAATCGCAACAGTTAAAAAAGATTTGACAAGTGAGAATACCTCTCACCGGTGCACACCGGTCTTGTGCCCAAGTGGAAAAAGCACCTAAGAAATCCTCGTATTTTGCAGAATCATATCTTTATATTTCTACATTGTGAACTTTATTACTTGACGAAGATATCATATTTTTTTATGTTGTGAATGATAAAGACGCTTTTGAATAGCTACCATCTAGAGCCCTTGGCAACGCCGAAAAAAGATGGTTCAAAAGTACAGAAGTAAATAGCATTTCGGCTTTCGTTATAAAAGCGGAATTAAGCGCAAGGGGAGGACTTTCACTGCTACGCTGACTTCAGAAAACCAACAGAGAATCTAAATAAGTACGCGAGAGATATACGCGATTCGGGGATTTAGAAATCGGTTTTGTTTCGTTCATTGATGCAGTAGCCCCCTGATTGTTCACTGTGAAGCCATTTTCTTTATTTCTCGTTTGTAATATTTATATTTATTCTTGGACGTAATGTAATATAAACATATTTTATTACTTTCAGATCTACCAAGTAGATATAATACGAGATGCAGATAATATATAGTCAAGAGAAACGCTAGATTTTTGCTGCGTGTCAGTTCGGAATCTAAAATATTTATGAAAAAATCAAATAAATCTGCTTTCTTTCAGTAAAATTATTTGGTTTACCTTCTATCAATTTGATTTCAATAAATGTAGCTAGAGAATAGTGACTTATTATCCTTCTAAGCAACTTTAAATCTAAAAATATGAAAACCCGCCGAGGATTCTCAAAATATTTTTTAAGAGGTTGTGAATTTCAAGGCTTCGTTGTGCACTTAGGAATACAGTTTGTATATATATATTATTGACAGAAATAGTTCTGCGTTTACGGAAGCCGAGGCTATGTCGCATTTATGAACGCAGTAGCATGGATCACCGTAACGAGCTCTTTGTATTCCAATGCACGGCGCCTAAGCAAAAGCTCGTGCCGCGGGAGCAGCTACCTAAAGTATTAGCTCGTCCGTGCGACGTTGTCATGAAAGGCATTTTTGTGCCTCTCTCAAAAGTAAGCCTGACTAATGCTTTGTCTCACTAGTGCTGTGGTTCTATTGAACGAAGAACCTTTACGTATAACTAATAAAGGCGTACGTAGCTAAAATATGACATGTTAACTAAGCATTAGAAACCCATTAATCTAGGAATGACTTAGTCGTTGTTCCTGCGATTGCACTCAGGCAATCCAAACTTCCTGAGCCCGCTGTCCCTTTTGGCTCGGTATTTTATACTTCCGTGCTTCCATTCTTGTTTCCTTTATTACGAATAGACGAATTAGCAAGTGATATTTTTTCAGCTTGACATAAAGGAATTTCGAAGTTGAATATTGGTTTCAAATCAGTCTACTGAGAATTTAAGTATCGAAAAGTAAGATAAAGGCAATGAACGAAAACCTTCTGTAGTTGAGCGCTCACACGGCATAGCATCGAAAAAAAAAAAGAAAAACAGAAACGAAGGAAAAAGGAAGTTAAACAATTTAGAAAATATATATGCACATTAGACTTTCTCTAAACAATACGATAGATGGCGCCAGTATACAGAGCGATTGCAGCGCACCTGCAGGCACTCAAACGGAAATGTCCGAGCCGGGCATTCGACAACATCAATCCTTCATTCGGAACCAACCAGAGCTCGGCGTTCTGACGTCACCACAACATTTGCAAAAGAAGCAGACGAACTTGAGCTTCGCATAGACAACCTTTGTACTGGCGTCTCCGCCAGTAGCAGCCCTACGTTCGAAAGAAATCTGAACATCTCTGTTCAGCCGCAATCAGGCGGCTCACACATCATTCAAAAGACACGGATTTTCTCCGCAGACACGGCGAGAAAATTCTCTGCGCAAGCGCCTCACGCATCTTCAAATCATGTTTGCAGCATGGACATGTATGCTTGGAACACCTCTGCAGACAGTCTGTATACGACCGATGTGATAGGACTGTCGTACAGGGAAGACATCTCAGGCAGTGGGTCTTTGTACGGTGCGTGACCGTGACCGCGTTTGAAGCGCTCTGGTGGATTAAGCTTTAATAAGATACGGTATTTGATTACCTCATTTGCAGGCTTTTTGGCAGTCCTCGAAGGTGTCAAACCTATTTGCATTGCCGCGGCAGCCTCCATAAATAAATTTTCTGCACTGCAAGGTATCGTAGTCGTAGTAATACTTCGGGATGCTTGCCTTGCATGGTCCAGGTTTGGGTTCCAGATAGCAGCGTTCTTTGAGGCCCCCTGCGAAAATCGAAAGACATAGTAAGGCACTATCGGGTTCGAAAGAAATGCAAACATTGACGAGACTTCCGGTGCCCCACCGACGCAGCGTCGGGACGTGGGTTGTGCTGGGCGAAGTTCAAACGCATCGGAGTAGTGCGCTGAACCTCGCAGCCCCCTACTCTCCTCCCCGCAGCTATATTAGTTTTCAGGGGCATTCATAGGAGGCGCGGCATTGGTTCGCGTCCAGGCTTTCCAGCGCTTGTATTTAATTCGAAATATTTCGAACGCGATAGTACGTATGAAGTAAAGGCCGCAACAAAAATAGCCCTTTCGTTTGTTTGTTTGTTATTGTTTCTTTTTCTCCCCCGGGGGGGGGGGGGGGGGGGGGGCAGCTGGCTGCGACGGGGTTTTGTTCACACGTAAAACCTCCTTGATCGAGAACAACGTCAACAATGGCAGGGCCAGCAACTCGTACATGATATGCGCTAGTGCTGAATGTTCGCTCCGTCACTAAAAAGTGGCTGTCAAAGCCACTTTTGTTGCTTGTATATGAATGTCGACCGGATTCGTCATCAGTCAAGTAAATTGGTGTCTGTATGTAGCTGAGAGACAAGTCCGCTCAACGGGCGACCTCTCTCAGCTGTAGATGAGCAATTTAGCCATGTGGTACAACTGCTGTCTTGGGGTATTTTACGTGCCCCCACGCAGTAGTGATAAACGACCGCACGCCGATACGATGCTCATCCATATCGAAACGGACAGGGGTGGTGACCGACACCGAGATCCTTGGGTTCCGCAGCTTGAGCCTTGACGTCTGGGCAACTGCAGTGCGCCACTTTGAAATTTAGCTGTTGCTTCGTCTCTGAGAAATCGCTTAATCTTTTGTCTTTGTGTAATTGCTTAATATTCAAGCTGTTTCCCTACCATCATCGCAGTTTCGTGAGTGTGTGCGTGTCGCTTTCTGTGTTTATGTAATCACTTAGTCCGCCGTCTCACCTGGCGGACACGACTCAGACCAGGAAAAGAAGGGAACTTGTTTACTTGTAGAACTAAAGTTGCTAAAAAAAAAAAAAAAGAATTCAAAATACACAGGCAAACAGGGTCGGGTGACGCGGTTTTCGCGCCACTCAGTACGGTAAAAGTAAAAAACAATCAATTTCTTAATTAAAGCTTCCGCTTCTAGTTTTCATTTGCCGTAGAAGATGTTCCGCAAACCGTCGTAACTACCCACAGCGAACGTTTTCCAAACTAGAATTCCCGAATCGTTCCTTGTCTGGGTAGTTCGAGATATTCGAGGCGATCACCACATAATTTATCGCTATTTCGAGGATGTTTATATGAAAATAGTCGAGGACAGGCGTTTCTTGGGAACATGCGCCATCCCGACTATCACAGAGCCTGATGATGTCTCATGCCTGCCGGAACGTCTTGTCCTACTTTGTGATGAACGGTGTTACTTTGGTCAGTCCTCGAACGTCAGCGTATCGATCCTGACGCAGGGACGTAGACATTGGTGCCTTGAGGCTTGAAGCACCAACTCGCGCACCAGGTTTTCGCGAGCAAAACCGGCCACAGCAAATTTCCTTTCAAATTACGACCCTCAATGAGTAAGCCACGAGCTTCACGAGCTATCGAGGGACTAGAGCGACTAGGAAGCCCAGGTGGCCACCAAGGCCTTCTCCCAGTCCCAAGGCCGAGCGGCTGAACGAGCCACGGGAGGAACGGGTGGAAGGTTGGGAAGAGAAGCAAAAGTAGGGAGCCTTCATGTGCGCTTTGCTAGGGTGATGCCACCCTTTGTAATACCACTCGCCGACAAACCAGCAGCCATTTTGTTCCTCGGCGATAATCTGTGGGGCTTATAACCCTCCCGGAAACAAGCACCTTATCTCAGAAGTTCGGAGCAGCGTTGTGGAGCCCACGGAGGGAGGATTAGCATTTTCCCCCTCGGATGGGATTACCGATGGACACAAAGGCCACTTTCCGGCGCACGGGGAAACAAATGAGAGAAACAAAATGGCGGTGGAAGAGGGTGTGGGAAAGGGAAACAGGCAGTTGGCATCACTCTATGCGAAGCGCACATGAAGGCACTCTAGACAAGAGAGAGTACCAACGGTCGAGGAGGATAAGTTCGTCTCCGAGAGATGTTCCTCGGTGGTACTGCTCACTGCGCTTCAAGTCGGACGACAAACAAGAACTTGTCCGCCGTCGGTCGTTACGCGGAGCTTGTCGGCGCTTGGGGGGGGGGGGGGGGGGGGGGTTTGTTGTTACAGTGGAACAGCATCAGCGGCACAAATATGTGTGGTGTCGCCGGAAAGAAATCGGTGTTTCTCACTCTAGTGGGACTAGGCTTTTAATGTTGCATCTGTTTCACCACCATCGTGGACTATGTACCAACTAGCTAAACTTAAGGCGATAACTGCTTCGTGGCTTGGCGCAAATGTGAATGTGTGCTTAATGGCAAAAACAAAAACACTCATTATTTGACTACGGCTTTGTGTTTTCGGGTCTTATGTTTCCTCGAATGCGGGGGACATGCGCCATCCCAACTATCACAGAGCCTGATGATGTCTCATGCCTGCTTATATTTTTCCAACAGATTCGGTGTTTTTCGCTGTCAGTATTAGGTGTCGGGCAAGAAATCAGTGTTTATCAAGCCTTAATTTTGAACGCAGCAGGGCACGGGCAAGGAGTACCTGAAAAGTGAAAGCCGTTTACAACTCTCTTTAACGCCGAATTAGAGCGCAGCACTTGAGGAGGAGGAGGAAAGGGTGCTGTGGGGCCACGTGACCTCACGGGGGTCACGTGACCCCTGTGAGATCACGTGACGACGACAGTGAGGTCATTACAATGATGTCATTGTCATCGTAATGACGTCATCGTCAGTGATGACGTCAATAATGACGCCATGATAACGTCATCATCGCTGATGACGTCATCATCACCGTCACTGATGACGTTATCAGTGACGTCTCTGATGACGTCATCGGCATCGTCATCCTCATCGTCACTGATGACGTCATCGGCATCGTCACTGAAGACGTCATCAGTGACGTCACCAGTGACGTCACGCGTTCCTTAATGCACCGCGTGGTTACGCCGACGGCGACCCCGCTCAAGCCGGAAACGGGCGCCTAAGAGCTGCGCTCTAAAAATTTCCGGTACCGATGAAAGAAGGAAACAAGGTACGGGGTCTGGTTTCCGGAGGGAGTAGAAGTCTCACGGACACTTCAGTGGAGCTGTGATCAAGGCAAACACAAAATAAAACTATAATTGAAAATATTTCTCCCAATACACTTGCGTGTTTTTTTTTGTATTTTTTTTTTGTTTTTTCAGGGAAGTGCCATGGCTGTTTTCACAGAAGGGACATGCTGTCGCCGGCCACGACACTCGCGCTGTCACAGAAGTGGGGGTGGACGTGGAAGGCGCCTGTTTTGCTGCAGGTCGCTCTCGTCGTTCTCGAGATTGACTGTCAGCGGGAGATTCGGTAGTAAGGAGCTGGGACGCCTCGACGACAGCGACATTCGCGTTGACGTTTCGCCATCCCTTCTACGCCTAAGTGCCAGGATCGCGACGTCCACAGCATGACGCTCCGACGTCTGTGGCGTCCTTTGTTGCCTCTTGGAGACCAGGTTTGATGCGTGGGAGGATTAGGACGCTGAAGACACCAGTCGGAGACGCCTGCCAGGCGGCACAGCCATGTCTAATATGTGTGTTCCTTACCTTCTTTAGGGCAGTCCTACTTGAGAACGCAACTTTCGTTCAGGACCCTGAAGTACCCGGAATTGCAAAAGCATCCAGTTCCGCAATCCAAAAAGGAACCTCCTGGTTTTGGCTCTCCGCATCGACGTTCGCCACAGGTGCTGCTTTGACACTCCTTGTAGGTCTCGTTTTTCGGGCACCCATGTGGGGGCGGCCAGGGAAACCCTATAGAAAAAGTAGGATACGAGTTCATAATCAGGTGAACTGATGCTAAGTTTCGGTTTGCTGCTCTGTAAAATAAAACAAAACAGAAAGCAAAAAAAAAAATATATATACATGCGGGCCAGTACACAGCTAGGTGCCATATATAGCCGTGTCCAGAATTTGCCAATTCAAGAAGCATGAAACGTTTTTTTTTTTTCTACTTTCGGTAAATATTACACAGAATCGCTCCCTGACGTGCATAACGAAATAAACTTGACGTAGGTTTTCTTTCTAAGCAATGGCAGTCGGAAAATAAATTGGAGGTATATGAGTAATATTCATCCCCCCAACTGGGAGCTAGAACAAGCGGCCACGTGGCTTGCTGCCTATCCTATGCCGTCTAAGCTAATCATTTCCACGCGCTGGGGTCGGCAAGGTTTAAGACGTGTGTTCGGCTCCAATCACGGTTAGAGTTCGGCTATTCTTATCACCAAGTAGATCGACACGGGTCACTATACCCGAGTGTCCGCCGGGACATTGGTCGTTACGAAGTCCAGTGCTGACGCAGTTCCCGTGTCCAATCCACGAGCCGCGCTCGATTGCCGTCAAGGCGGATGCTTTCAATCTCCCAATTACGTCATCAAGGTTTTCCGGAGCCAAGACTGAAAAAAGTCGTCCCCTTTTATCCTCGCTATTTCACCGCGACCAAGAAGCCTCTGAATCAGTGGCGGTCCGGGCGAGCATACTTGGGCTAGACTAGGACCTGTACGCCTCTGTAAAATCATGAACGTTTCAACGCGATATCGTTTGATGATCCCTTTAAAGTCATATATTGCTATAAACATGGATATTGTTAGAAATGCTTCTTCCGGGTCTCCAATAGGACCTTCTCAAAAGTCCGTGCCTAGGCCTGTCCGCCAATGCTTGCTCAGATACATTGAGCATGCATTGGACACGAGGCCTGCGTGAGCGTTCGGCAAGCACTCGCATCCAGTCACACGCTACGCGTCCACGCAGTGGTGACTGCCAATGTCGCTTGATGGAATCTTGAAAAGGGTCTTAGAAATTCAGTGCGTCCACTTCGATAACTATCACCACCTAGGTGTATCCAATCTGTACACACTACTAGAGGGCTGTTGATGGTTGGTGAAGGAAGAATTTGAAGACAGGCAAAAATGCGCAGCCGGAATATTGCATACCTTAGTTCCCTGCATTGTTGTTTGATGTCACTGTGGCGAGACTTATAAGCTAACGTGCGCTATGCGTCCTTGAAATGCTTGACTTCACTACGTCCCAGGTAGCTGATATGACTATAAAATGTGGTAAATTTCATCAACAAATTTGCTCGAGTACGCGCCTCGTACGGAGTAGTTGTCCGTTGACACCATCGAAACTGAAACAAATAGAGAGATAACTGTATAGTGAACTTGCTTCTATACTTCTGCCGTTGATGATTAGGTACTAAATTTAAACCGCCATTTGCGCGCACACCTTTGGTCTGATGTTTGAACTGCTAGATGGCACTGAATTTGTAAAAACGTTAGGGTGCATGTGCGGCTGTCTGACGCTGAAGACATCCTTTGTTCCACTCAGTGGGCCAGCGCGTGACCCTATCGCGCGCTCAGTGAGTTACTTGGGAGGTAAAGTGGTGTTTAAGCATTACCCAAGGCTACGCGCTCAAGCTGGTTTACGAAGAATTGCACGCACTTAAAGGGACCCTGCGAGGACGTTTTTACTGGTTTTAATTTGCACAGAACCAGAGCGCACTGAACGTAGTAACTTAACGAAACTCTTCTTTTCTCAAATTTCTCGTTATTTTAAAAGTCATGGGCAAAGCAAAGTTACAAAAACAAGCAAGCAAAAAATAACCTATGTCATGACGTCCTTCGTTGCTTAAGTGGCCGTGAACTAGAGAAGGGGTAGTGAGCTCAGCGAGCGCTCACGGCTGCCGCACTCCGTGTCGACGGCGCGAGAAGGCGCTAGTAAAGCATGTTCTGGATAGCCTGTATGCAGCGGGCAGCCAGAGTCGCTCTTATTGCATTTGCTGCGCGATTAAACACTAATTCGGCATGACACTTCATTGGCCACAAACGACAGCAAACAAGGGGTAAAGATCAGTTCAGAATGGGAGCCACTTCGCGCTGCCATACCGCGAAACGGCCAAACCGCAAGACAAAGCTCCTCGCCAAAAGCCTTCGGAATGCTGAGCCGGTCGGATCCTCTAGTCGATACGACCGCAGCGCCGCCGCGTACATTCCGGGACCTTTCCGTGTCGGCGCCTGATTCCACTACTCCTTTCTATTATGCGCCGTCTTTTCCACCGCTTGGTGGCGGGTGTGTCGACGGGTCATTTCTTGTTTGCGTACTTTATAAACTGCATTTGTTTCTTTTCTGATCTAAAATACTGAACAAAAACTACTTTTATAAATAATTAAAACGGTTCGCGCCACTTATATTTTGTAGTTCGACTAAAAAGTAACTTTTAGAGGCTCTGACCAGTAGTAAGCCCAAGACCAAAGACGTCACATATCGCGCGCTTTCGGTACCGAGGGTCGGTGGAGGAGGTTTCCACGTCGTCTGGCTAAAATATGATGCACTGATATTTAGTTACTCTCTCCGTATCCGCTGGCTTCCACGAACCCCAAGAGATGTGGAAACCTCAGAAAAGGTATACGCTTAAATATGATTGCAGGACCCCTTTAAAAGGGCGACGCAACAATTTTTGTGACATTGAAGATACGCCATAAAAACCTCATCTAATATCGATACATTTTTTTTATTTGTGGAGTTCGTTGGCTTCTTTGATAATGGGCGTATAAAAAGGCTCGAGGTACACCAAAGCACTTCTTATGAATTGTGAATGCGAAAGCATGAATGCCAATCTTCCGCTCCCTTATTTCGTCTGCGGCGAATTTGCGTCGACGGCAGAGCGAGCGCTCTCCTAGCCGCCCTGACCTTGGACACTACGTGTTACCCCATGGCGCTGACGGCACGGACACGCAGCGCCATGGGGTGGCGGTCGTTGAAACTATGATGCGCGCCAGCCAATGGGACCGAAACTGAAATCCATCAGCTTCACTCTCTTCTTTTGGATCGGGGAAACTAGGTGCCGTCTGGCTAGGCATTTCGCGTGGTTTCAAAGCTTGGAGCCGTCTTCACTGGAAAGAAAGATTTGAGGTGCCGTTTGGCGTGGCTTCAAAGGTGGTGACGTCGGCTCGGTCCATGGGACAGTTAATTCTTTCGCGTTAAAAGCATATCCACTCATGTAGAAAAATGTTTGTTAAAGATGGGCGATTTTGATGCCATTCAATCTCTATAATCGTTATAGCAAATTCAAGCTATAGCATTCTGTCTCAACAAGGATTATTCAGTCTGTCCACTCATGTTGATAAAATGTAGATTAAGTATGGCCGATAAAACAAAATATAATTGTTTTCAAGTTTTGAACGACTTTGGTCTATAGACATGAGTCTTATAGAAATCTATTGATACTTGATATAAATTTATAAATAGATCGAATTGAAAGTCGCACAATTCGTCCAGTAGCTGCAAGAGAGACAATTTTTTGTTTCATAAAGCTGGGGTCACAGTGCTCACACCATCATACAAAAGACAGTCTGCAAAGAGGAATCGCTGCAATATCCGCGGTTCGAATGCCGCGTGCCAAGTTTTCTCCTTGAATTAATTGACATGCGGCATTCGAAGCACAGATCTGGCACTCTACTATGCATTAAAACTGTCTCTTGTATGATGTACAAGCATTGGCATCGTTAAGTCCGCGCTCCTTTACTCCTACTCCGGCGCTCCGGGTTTCATACTCCGAGCGCAGCAACTAGACGGACCATAGCGTACATTAGCGTACCAAACCAAAACCACCGAATCTATTGACGAGCAGTATGGGCTTCTTCTGAGTGCATGTTTGTGACAAACCCGGCATCTCGTGGATACCGGTGGCACATGCCAAAGTTATTTCGAAGATAAATTAATCCCTTGAGTGAATAATCGGAAGATTATATGGCAACCCATAGGAAAGGCTCGTGGGTGTAGTGTCAGTGACACACAGAGAGAAAAGAGAAGGAAAGGAAAAATGAAAAGTTTTTCTTTCCGGACAAGTGGATGGTTTGCCCCTGTTCGTAGTATTGCTTGAGGGGGCGTCCCTTTGCATTGTTGTCTTTGGATTTTTTTTTTTCTGGTGTGTTGTGTCTTTGAAAGGGGCGTGTTGAGTGTTTGGGTGACCTTGTGGTTGTGAGTATATAAGGATGTGGGACTAAATAAATCTTTTAGCTGCGTTTGAGACGTTCTCTTCTTCACTTGTCTCTGTCCCTTCTACTTTTAAGTTTCTGTTTCTACCCCAGTCTCGGGTTAAGTTCCATCATAGGAAGACAAGAAACGTAATGGTTGAAGCTAGAGAAAAAAAACGCTTACCCTTCACATCCGACGCCCCAATAGAGTACGCTACTAAAACGAGGAAACAAAGGACTGCGATGATTGCCTTCATCTTGGACGATAGTTGTTAACGATGCCGTTGGAAGGCTGGAGGTGGTGTTTTATACTATTCCACTAGTATAAGATGTCCCTAGCTATTTCAAATTTATTTTGTTATGTTCAAGACAGCGAATACGCTCGCACCCATTGTTATCCAGGGTAATTTGAAATTATGGACATTTCTTATTAACATATATCAAGGTGTATGTGAAAAGACAATAGATATTGTTTAATCTGCTGTACAGTAAAATGTACGTCCTACCTGAAAAGTATTAAGCTGGGTCCAGCTTGTGGACGTGAAACATATTGTTGCCTCACATATATTTTTGTTTACTATATTTTGCATTATCATAAAAAGGTTCTATACAACACACGTTTTTTTAAGGCTATAGTTTCCTTCAGGTGTGAAGCGTTTATCTTGGGAAATAAACCAAAAATGCCTGTTGTTGTTTGGACTCTGACCACCCAGTACGAGAAGCCCAGAGATATGTTAGAACGATTAAGGACGGCCTGAAAAACTTCATGCAAAGGTGGCGTATCCACGCGTGTGGCAAATACTATATGCATATATCGACGAACACCACGAGATGGCACTTGGCTGTCAAAGAGACTTCTGGGCTATCAGATTATATCCCATCCTCGTCGCCGCTTCTACGACATGCGGTAGGCAAAGCATTGTAGGCTGTGAACGTTTATATAGGCAGCCCGATACTTCGGGTGCAGAATAGAGCGATGGTGATAACGATGATAACTACAGTGCCGAATGATTATAAAGTACAGATCGTCATTCATCGATGGTAAAGCTTACTCATAATAAAAACGAAACTTAAAAGTATTCTCCATAAGACTGCAAAAAAGCGATCAGATCGACTAAGCTTATAAAAACAATAAAACTTAAGCAAAATAGAAAGAGTGGTGGAGATTGAAAAATAAGGATTTCAAAAATGAGGTGCTGATCTAAATCAAGACATAAATCATGATTTAAATCAAACAATTTTTAGACAGATGATTCAAATCAAACCATTCCCGGAAAAATAATTTCTAAAATATATTTTATTCACTGTTTGTCTGTTATCTCAGGCTTTCATGAATTTTTATTTATAAGAAGAATCATCATGAGGGGGATATTTATATACGACTGATCACGTGCTAAAAGATGTGCTCCTCTGAGCAGATTGGAGTATTGGGGTTATTTTCTACCTTTTACATCGTTTGTATGAAAAGTAATGTCCTACTGCAAGCAAAGCAATACGCAAAAAAAAAACTAATACAGAATGTTTTACTGAAAGCAAAAAAGAAGCTGTAAAAAAAGCAAATTAAGTACTTTAATCCAACCCAAAAATCAAGCTGTTTATGAGTAGTCTAGCAGGTTTTACATTAATAAAAATTATATTATGAAATTTTTACTTTTAATTTATGACAATTACTTCATCCGGATTTTTATTACTATCAGTAGTATGCTATTCTGACATGTATAAATGTGCATCTAGTGATGAACAAACGCTATTTTCTCGCTACACCGATTTAAATCAAATTATCTTAATTTAATTTTAAATATAGAATTTATTTGATATTCTAAAAAGTCACGATATTTTTTTTATGGTTTCAGCTGTCGAGAATTTTCTGCCCTAAGCAATACAAGTCTAATCTGATTTATAAGAAACAATATAATTTCTGACACAAGCAACAATTATTCTGGGTAGATATAATGATTAAAACCTATTAATTTTGCGTGAAAACCGCCAATCTGGCAAAACTAGAAGAGATATTGAACGGGGAAATGCGAATGAATGTTTAAACTTATTGTGATATCGCCTCTACAATAAAGCAAAGAAATGTAACTCGAGTAATGAGAAAGGAGATACCAGGTAGTTTCGCGATAGTTTCACACATACCGAGCAGAGTTACAGTACACAGCTAGAGATATTTTGAAAGTAGTGACAGTTAGGGTGACCGTATATGAACACGGGTGTTAGAGCCTCCCTATAAAGCTTTCTTTAGTAACCTACTATAAGATTAAAAAAAAACATATGCAATTATGCGACCTTCGTTCCAAAATACCTTTTAAGTTAACTTTAGAACATATAGGAATTTTTCTCAGTGAAGACGCACAGGGTAATTTTATATGTGCTCATGGTTGTGTACCATACATTCCCTATCCGATGGCAGATAAATGGCATTCTCTCTGACGTGTCTTTAATTATTTTTTGATAGCTATATATTAAATAAATAGTTGAGACATACATCAACGACCGCATTTTTGTTATTTGTATATGATGTGTGCATATAGTAAGAAAGCTATCACCTTGTAATTGTAATGTCCCCTTGTAAAACTACAGAACTTTAGTGTTTTTTTTTACATATGAGCCCTTCGTATGGTATTAGAGGGTATAGGTAATAAGTAGTGCTGCGCGCTGGTTAAAAGTTTTTTACCCAAATAATCGCCACATTTTATTTAATTAATTAATCCATTATTCGGTTGCTCTCAATTCAAGGAATAATATCACCAAAAGGGTATTATGTATGGTGATCATGTGATGACTGCCGGAATGTACGCCTTAAGCACTGGATATTTTGCTTTACTTTACTCCACTGAAGTTCATAGGGTAAAAAAACCCTTATTTGGAAAACTCACCGTTGAAACCTGGGCTACTGGCGTCCACCGAGACCGAGCTAAATTCGACAACAAGGCCACTCTTTATCATTTGTCTGTGCTGTGGTCATCTTGGGTTTTTGGGATGCATGTTTTTGCGGAAAAAACAATGGAAAAAAACTCTTTTTGTAGTAACTTTTATTGGAGTTTTGTACAAAATGAAGAGCGCGTGATGTTTTCTAATATCTTCAGTTTGGAAGGTTTTGCAGCACAATTAGTATTGTTTTTATACAACCATGCTTGAGCGGTGATTTCAGGTAGCGCGTCCCGACCTAGGCGCATCTTAACTTCAGTAATAATTCGCGGCGGGTCCGCATGGGAGACGGGGGTGGCACCCTTTAAACCTCTTGCGCCGTATCTATTTCGGCGCAAAAATGGCCGATTGAAGCCAAAATAGAAGTCACGTGCAGTTCCTCGGATGGCCCCTACGGGAGCAATGGCGGCGTTGTGATCGCCATTAGCTCGGTTCTCGAGTACGGATCGGTCCCACTTTTTCAGGGCAGTCTCTACGGCAGTTTCCCAACTTAGCGGTTCTAGTAACGTTGATTCGTACCTTCTGCTGGAACCTCTAGCACGAAGGATGGCGAAATTCAAGCTGGCACGCCGGCGTTGATGACGTCCGTTGACTTCACTTCGGGACAACTCTCTATGATTGGACGGAATAGGACGCTAGACAGTCCAGTCGAAGGAATCTGTAGTCATCAGTATCGAGAGTGAAGGTAGAAATTGAACGCCACGTTTTCGTCTGTCCGAGGAGGATGGAAACATTACCAGCTAGAAGACTCGGCCTGCGAATGACGCCATCATTAGGGGAGCCCCGACCGAACCGCCCCTAGCAGAAAGCAGGCCGAAGGCTGACGGGAGTCGCCGCAAAGCGGTAGACGCGTCTGCCGTGACGTCGCCACGTATTAGCGTAGCGCTGCTGAGATATTAGACAGTTTTAACATAGCGTTGCTGGCTCTTACGTACGCAACACGCAATTAGCCCCGAGAAGTTTGCGTGGCGCCCCCTCACGGCGAACCGGGCTGACGTCACGGCGAGGACAGAATTGTCCCTCGACTCGCCTCGCTCGCCCTGTGGAGGCTGTGACGACATTAGCTGTCGGCGCGCTTTTCGTAGGAAGTGTAGGTAAATATTCATATATGGCTTTATCCAGGTATGGCCTATATTTGCAGGCGAAACTTCAACCAACATTTCAGGCATGTTTGACAGGGCAGGCAACGCATGAATTGCAGCTGGTTTATGAAAATGGAGAAATATGACCACAATTGCAGGAGCATCGCTATAGATTTACATCTCACAAAATCAATGCTGCAGATGATCTGAATGAACGGGCAGGTTATGTATACTATTTTGTTTTTGTTTAGTTTTAGGCTGTACCTCTGTTTTTAAACAAAAACACCGAAGCAGAAAAACTGCATGCTGCTCGAGCAACATGTTAAATATAATCTGGGCCACGGAGAGAGAATCACAAGTGAGACAGTCCAAGTACAGGGGCAAAGCAAAAAAACAAGCAACATTTATTTATATACATAGCTAACATTTGACATTTGCTGGATTCGCACAATATATTAATGGGCTCCACTGGGGGTATATATGTGCACTTTTTTATATCATCCCTCAAGTAATGTACAACAAACGCAAGCGAAAATGCCTAGCCCGCTGTTAGTTAATGAGCCTCTAACATTGAGATTTTAGCTAAATCAAATTGTTCTGAAGCTAAAAACCGGAAGCTTTTCTCACGCCAACTATCACCCTTCACAGGTTCCACATTTTCTGCTACCAGTGCGACATCTACCGGTGGACAGCCGTTCGAATGCTTGCTGTTCCTCCTGTTTTCCTTTGCTGTCAGAGAGTTCAGCTGCAAGGAGTTTGGAGGCTGAGGAAGCTATTGGGAACCTGCAGCAGGGCATCTTCTAATTAGAAATGACTGCTCAAACGGAATCGTGTATTTTCCGAAATCACAAGGCTGGAATAAAGAAAGAATGTTAGGAAAAAGTATAAGCATTCCGAATTGTGGTTCTAGCGGAGCATATTTTTGGCAGTTCAATACATCTCACACAGGCGACCGAGGCAGTTCGGCCGTTTTTCCTTCTACCATACAAACTAATTTCTCTTGATTGTGCATCTTCAAAAAAATTAGACATGCATGCACACGTGTACGAACTGTATCATTAATTCACGCAGACGCTACATTTATGTAAAACAACCCTGTTCCACGAGCACTTCAAAGGTCTTTAGCCCCATAACCTTTAAAAGATCTGCGAACCAGCACATGCAGAGTGGTACGCGCAGAGTCCTTGTCGTGACCTAATTTGCCGACCACCCAAAGGCCTTTGATAGAAATGCCATTTGAAATG